GATTAATTTCTTTCTATTTTTAGTAGAGACGGGGTCTCGCTCTTGCTCAGGCTGGTCTTGAACTCCTGAGCTCAAACAATCCGCCTGTCTCAGCCTCCCAGCGTGCTAGGATTACAGGCGTGAGCCACCGTGCCCGGCCAAGACCCACTTTTGTGGCTCTGTGGGCATCAAGTTAATAATATATGTTAGCTGATAAATATCTGTTGAGCACCTATATATACATACTAGGGGCTAATTTAGGCATTGAGGATAAGCTATGAATAAGACGAAGTTCCCATCCTCAAGGAGCTTACATTCTGTAATACAATTTGCTTTACTGGTTCCGGCACAGTGTACACATAGACGGTGCCCAATGAACATTTACTTGCTGACTGACTGGCAGATCATCAGAGTCCTTGAAATCAAGAGGCTTATGTAGCGTGTTAGTTTCAATGACCCTAAAACAGGTTGTGCACGCTCCTTTACTGATATTGTTAAGGATGTTTCACCAGACGAGGCTCTCTTCTGATTTAATGATTCTCACATTTGAGAAAGAGGAGTGAGGACAGCGGATTATGAGATGTTTCCAAGTCAGTGCTTGGGTTTCTTCAGTGCCGTAGGTTTAGTGGAAGGTTCTCCCATGGAAGGTGCTTTGAGCAATAGAAAGAGAATCCTCCTCACATGAGTTAGTAACCATATCTAGGAAGGGAATCTTATCCCATTCCATCCATCCTCAGGATAACCTGATCATCACCCATGAAAAAACTTTCTTATCTTTCATAAAACTAGGTCCTTAAATCTTGGAGCACAGAATGTATGTAATTTAAATGTTACACAAATTTGCCATTAAGTCATATTAAACAGTGATTAATAGCCATTAAGGATTAATGAGAAAGGAATCAAATTATAACTAAGTCTTTGAAAAAAGTTTGCTCTTCAGGACTCTATATCTTATTCTTTAGAGAGGTAATAATATCTTAAGTTTTAATAATGAAGCATTCTGGTTTTGTTTTTGTTTTTTTAAGAAGACTATCACTGTGGGAAAATATCTGTGTCAGCTACTCAGGCTTATAAGAAACCCGGCTGGTTGAGACACGCAGCATTTAAGCAAAGGACCGCTCTCAGTTTATACCTGTGCATCCTAACAGCTGGTAAAATTGTTAGAAAAAAATAAATAGCACCTAAACAGCTGAGCTTAAAACATGCCCTTATAAAGTACTATTTCTACTTAATGTTGGTAAGGGTGACAAAGATGTTAACTTCACAGCTCTCTGGAAAGTGCAGCTAACACACAGCACACATTCCAAATACAGTTATTTGAAAGGTAATGTTGTCTACCCCATCACTCTGAATCAAATTTCCCAAAAGTAATTCTATTAGTAGTTCTCTAATAGATCTTTATTCCAAGCAAGCTCACTTTTCTACTTAACTCTGATGCAGAATTTATAACACTTTGTAGGGTATGTCATATGAGCAATTTCAATGTGTTTTAGTGGGAATGATATATAATCTCCTGAAAATTCACCCCTTAAATAAGTCCTAATGGGCTGAGAGAGTAGCAGTAGCTTAAATGGATCTATTAAAAAAAGACCGAGTGGGTCAGTGATGGGGATGGAGATATCATTTTAACTCTCTCTTCGGTTACTGATCAAAGTACATTGGCAGTCTAGTTTGGCCATTAACACACACACATCCCTCTATGTAATTCACTTGTGGCATCAACCCTTGCTTTGTTCCATTGATCTGAAATACAGATTTTCCAACAAAGGAAAGGTGCCGGACCATTTTCACCACCTCCCTTAGAATCAAGAATTTTATGCAGACTGCAGAGCATCTGTGATTCCTCTCATAGGGAAATTAATTAGTGCAGAGAACAAGGAGCCATTTTTCTCTGTCAATATCCATAGAAAGGAAGACTACGATGTAATTTTCAAGGTGAAACGTGCTGAGTTAAATTCACTGGTTTAGATTTAACTTTCAGTAAAGGAATGACCTCCTTCAGTATTTATCAGCTGATTTTTGTGAGAGCTCAGGGCGATGCTGTATTCTCATCTCACTTGGCTCTCCCCTTTTAGTTTTGAGATCTTGGAAAGTTCGTGCATTTTCTCTGGGACTAAATCTTCTCAGATGTGACGTAAAAGGGCTGACTATACTTGGGCTAAAGATCTTTTTAGGTGTAAAGGTCTATGAGTTGTGATTTAGAGCTCTCCATGATCACAGCATCTAGAAGAAACAAAGAAATTCTAGAGCCTACAGCATTTCCATTTGGAGAAAAAAAATTTCACAAAAACAGCTTTACAAACAGACATTTTTTTACATGATTTAGAGTAAAGTAAAAAAGATGAAAAAAAGACATAATCCACACTACAGAGCCGGTGTGGAAATGCTGAGGGGCACGCTAGGTGGGGCGCTCCAGGCCACAGTACTTTCCCTCATTTCTTCCACGGTCTCGGACTGCGGGCACACGGATGTGCCGAATGTCCTGCAGACCCGGCTCAACGGGTCGGTCAGGCTATGGGTGGCATTTCAGATATGCTTTCTAAGCCTTTTGAGAATTCAAACGTATAGAGTCATTTCTATTTTTGCAAAGCAACAATAAATTGGAGAGCCGTCACACACTGAATGACTGAATGAAAGCGTTCATTGGATAAAAAACATCTTACTTCCAGACCCTCAGATTATATTATGATTGAACAGGAGTCTGGAAAGGCAGGCTTAAAATTAACAATCACTCACTATTCTAAACTCAGCAAGGACCAGGCTGGACTGCATCCCAGCAGAAAGGAATCCTTATATTAAACTCAACTTTAACAAGTCAACTGAGGAACTTAATAGGCAGGGTTTTTTTTTCTACACCTGTGGTTAAAGATTCTAATATTTTGATGTTTGTCAACAGCATCCTTTTGCAGGTGTGGCTGTACCTCTATTTTGCCTTCTGTTTATTTCAAAGTTGACGTTTTACAAGTTATTTAGGAACTGCTGAACCATGAAACTATTTTTCATTGTCAAAAATGCTGAACAGTGGAATAATGACTAGCTTTCACAGTTTGCCCCTTTATTTTATAATCTAGTTGAGCTACTACGTTTAGTTGTGAACTAAGAGACTACCTCTTCTGGGAAATAAGTTATTTCCCCCACTGCCTACAGGTTTTTGAATGTTTCAATGTAAATATATGAATATATGAATGATTTAAGAACATAAACATATCACCGCTTGTTGTAATCATGTGCATTTTACTTGAACCACAATGTGGGTCTGGAATAGGTTTGTGAATAGAGCTTGTTTTCATGTAAATGGGATCAAGCATTACCACTGGTTAGCTATTCAGGGAATCAGACAATGCCACCCTTGCTGGAAATGCTTCAGTAAGAATTTAATCCATGTACCTAATATTTGAACTCCGACTCTTGCTTCATATTCCTGTGGCCTAATCCAGATCTCATTGCTGACAATGACTAAAGGATGGTGTGAGACTTACCGCGATCTATTTATGTGTGGCATCTCTTTCTGGCACTGAGGATTTCAGGTTTCATCTTGGAGGTAGTGTCTAAAGAGAGCTTTCTTTTCCTCCTCTGTGACATTCTAAAAAAATGCAGCACGGTCTGCCTGCCTGCCTGCCCCTAGAAGCAGCATCCATGCCAGGGCTCTTATAGTGAAACCCCAAACCAACAGGACATAAAGAACTCGTGGAATCCTGTGTTTTGCCACTATATGCACAATGTGCATCTTATAAACATTACTGTACTTTCTAAGTTTCTAAGCAGCTTACCCATCCCTGTGAATATGAAGAGAGACCATTACCAAAGCATTTCTTTTGGAAATAATATCAGCATCGCAATGAGAGTAGCTTAATGTTTCACATTTACAAATGGGAAATTATAAACAGGCTGACGTTCTGGCACTTACAACACCAGGAGAAAAAAAAAACAACAACAATTCATGCATAGAAAAGCCATTTATAAAATGAAGCTTGGCGTATTTAGTTCCCTTGAAGCCATAAATTCTCACACAGCTACCAGATGTGTGTGTCCGTATGTGTGTTCATATAATATTGCATTATGTTATGTATTTGTAATGAAAGCCTTAAACTGAATATGCATTATGTATATCAGTTGTGGGTGACCCTGTTGTCGGCTAGGGAAAAAAAGACTGTTTTTCAAACATGCTGTGTGGCTATTTTTAACCTGAGAACATTAATCAGAAAAGAGCTTAAATCTTACTTCCTCTGCTTGCCTCTCTGGTACAAATAGGATGACATGGTGTGAGTGTCCATGACACGAGGTATGACAAAGCCAGGCTGTTTTGATATTTGTGTGAGGGACAAATTTAACTCTAAATCTCTTGGCCAGACCTGCCTTCCCCACATAATCAGAGCCCATCCGCGTGTGACCCCGGTCTAAACCTTCAAGAAGACACTGCCCCCTTCCCTCTTGCCGCTGCTCTCTGATCTGACTTTCATGCTTAATCTGATCTAATCCTGCCAGCATTATCTTCATCTGTGCAATGAAACCTGGAGGATTCTTTCTCATATTTGGTGAGGAAAGGCATTTACTAAATTACTTGCTCAAATCATACGGTGAGGTTTTAGCTCCTTATTTTTGATTAAATGAGGGATACAGAATTGAGGCACATTACCAATGATTAGTCAGAAATCTAGGTTTTTCCCATTTTGGAAGAAGGCTTTCTGAAATTGGGTGCAAAAAGACTAAAAGGGCCATAAGAAACTGGAAACCCTCAGCGAAAAATATAACAAAAGTTATTTGTCATTGAGAAATATTTTTCAGAAGAGAAAAAAAAGCGAACCTCATTCCATTGACTTCAGAAGCAAAGTTATCCATTCAAAATCTCATTAAAATAATAATAATAAAAAAACCTACTTCGTGAAAATTCCATTCAACTCTCCTCTAGAGAGTCTTCTCTGAGTTCTGGATCTTATGATTGGGCTTATCAATATATAATGATAGAACTTCAGAATCTGAACTTGTGTTTTCAGATCTAAATTGTCATAATAAAGATCGTGATAAAACTACAAACAAGATCTTACTATTGACAGGGAAAACACTTGTGAATTGTTGATGTTTCCCATATGCTGACATAATTATGATGCATGTTTATCCTGTAACTTAGGATCAGACTTTCATTAACAAATACGTAGATTGGGCTAAAATAGAACCCAAATAGCTAATGTAAATTATTTTTAAAAAGCAGGCACCTGTCAGAGATTGTAATGCTATTATTTGCATAAGAATAAAATGTCATTTTATAATATTTGTTTTGTGTATAATTAAATACAATAACTGAAAACATTAGATAGCAAATACACATTTTAAGAAAAGCTATTTCCCCAAAGATATTTCACAGATATGTTTATTTGCTGGAGAGTATATATGTGTGTACACATATACATATTCCCTTATATCAATAGTCATATCTCTCCTAAGAAGTAAGCTAATTGAGCTGTTTGTGTTGATAAACTCCTTTTTCTCCAGACTATTCCTCTCCGAGCCATAATTATTTGCAATTTGCCTAAGTCGTCCATTTACTGATACGTCAAGCATGAAACAGAGGCAATTCCAGAAAATGGAAATGCTTCTCAAAATCAATCTTTGGGAAATAATGTGGTAGAAGTTACTGTGTGATAGAAGACTACCTTATAACTGTCACATGGAGATGAATATTAATTTGTTGGGGTTAAGGTGGCTTTGTGCTTCATTTGTTGACTTTGCTTAGCCGTCAGCAAAGCAGTACAGCCCAATTACTCCAGCAAAGCTATTTTTTCTAACAGGAGTTTTATGATTTTTATGTACTTACCAGTCAGCACACATAACAATGTCAAAATGTCCTTCCAGTTGAGAGACATCTGTCTCATTATCCCATCGTAAAACGCTTGAGGAGAAAAAGATTTTAAAAATTATACTTAGGGTTTTTTTTTTTTTAACTTTTGATTTTGAGCTATTAACATTATTTTTTGTGGCACTTGAAATTATTTAAAAGGTATATACAAATTATTTCAAAAGGTATAATTAAAAAAAGTTTGATGTAACTGTCTTCTATATTTTAGTCTTCAAATCTAGAAGAAGAAGAATTCTCTATTTAAATATAATAGTTAGGCTTTTTGCTAGTTTTTATATATTTTTGTAAGCAAACTAGGGAGAAATATCTTATCTTTACCATAGTCATTAGAATGATTCTAGACCCTTAACATCAATGAAGTACATATTGAAATCGAAGTATTCCCCATCTGACTGGAATACAAATTTATGAAAAGTAAATGATGTGAGACTTAGTGTATATCTATCTTGCCTTGCATGTCAGTTGCATTTCTTTTTTTTTTTTTGTGACAGAGTCTGGCTCTGTTGCCCTGGCTAGAGTGCCGTGGCGTCAGCCTAGCTCACAGCAACCTCAAACTCCTGGGCTCAAAGCGATCCTCCTGCCTCAGCCTCCCGAGTAGCTGGGACTACAGGCGTGCGCCACCATGCCCGGCTAATTTTTTCTATATATTTTTAGTTGTCCAGATAATTTCTTTGTACTTTTAGTAGAGACGGGGGTCTCGCTCTTGCTCAGGCTGGTCTCGAACTCCTGACCTTAAGCGATCCACCCGCCTCGGCCTCCCAGAGTGCTAGGATTACAGGCGTGAGCCACCGCGCCCGGCCTCAGTTGCATTTCTTATTGATGGAATGAGCAATTTGGCAAGATGGAAGAAAAGAAGAAGAAACTTTCATTTGGTAGTTCTGTTGTTAGGCATATTTTAAAATTCACCTATACTGACAATCTTCAAAAGAAGATGAGATTTTAAACCTCACATTAATAACAATAATTAATAACACGCATTTGAAAAGTCTAGTTATGATTATAAAGCCAACCAGAGGTTTTAATGTACTCTCAAATAACAACTGTGACGATTAGCATTTACCATATTCAGGTATTTTAACTATTAGTCTCTCCACCACACCAAAATTGTGATTTGCAGTACTATTTTTCAAAGTAAAATTCTGCTCCTATTTTCCATTTTGATTCTTTGGAGCTAAACTGAGTGATCATATCCTACCCTGTCTAGTTATATTTGCTTGTTTTGATGGGTTCTTTATTTCTTCTACATATTCCCTGGGTGAAAAGTCATGTGTTTGAATATAAAAGTAAGTCTTATTCTAGGCAGTCCAAAAGTCCTTTTCATACACAGCACATTAACATACATTAATGCTAGTGAATTTCCTAAGGTAGAAAAGATTAAACACATCACCACAAAAATACCCATACACGTTGAGTGTTAGTTCATTCACTGGTTTCACTAATTCCTACCAAGCGCCTCCTTACTGTGTGTCAGGAGCTGTGCTGTGTCATGGGCCGTGCCTTCACAGGGGCAGCCTGGCGAGCCACACAGACACAGCCCTTAACCCAATGCTGTATCCTGCGTGTTGTGTAAGTGTACTGACTTGGAGCACCAGGAAGGGCTTTCCAGAAGAAGTGGATTACCTCAGTGTTCACAGGTCCCGTGACACAGAGATGAGATTTATAAATTAACTCTACTCTCGTTGTACTTGCCCATGTCCACTAGAAAGGCAAGAAATGAAGGAAACCAGGAAATTCCTAAGAGATTAATGCTTACTTTATTTTTGGGTTCCTCAGAAACTTCATGTACCTATGGAGAGTGGGAAACAACCAACACCAACTTTTCTGGAAATGCTGAGGCTTCTGGCACACCCGGGACTCAGGCTCGGTGGGAGAGTGGGCCTGCTCAGCCCTCATCAAAGGCCTGAAAGTCTTAGAGAACGTCTATGTGAACAAGATGGTTTAAAATGGAGCTCTATTTAATATACTAGATTTTCTCAGGTAATACAGTAATGTACCCATCACACAAATTTTGAGAAAAAGATAAAAGTATTAAAATTACTCAATCTTACCATTCCACAAATGACTATTTAGAACATGCTTTTAATATACATGTAATTACTAAAGCACAAGAACAGAAAGTGCAGGAAAGCCTGTGTTGACATTGAATGTTGTATTCCTGAGGTGCTTCAGCCTCTTGGTTCAACAAAGACAAACTGGGGAGACGGGTGTGATGGCCACGGATTCCCACAGCAGCTGTAACGAGCTGTGGCTCTAAAATAAATTGAAATGCCCCACTTGGTCACATGGACCACAGCACATTCCCAAAAGGCATTTCCCCCCGGTTCTCACGAGGCTTATGGCTGTGCTGCAAGCATGTGACAGAGAGAGAGTGGTGTTGTGGAAAGAGTCCAGCTTTAGCACAACTGACACACCTAGGTTCAAATCTTGGTTCCTACCCTTAGTAGCTGTCTGAGTTTGGGCAATTATTTAACCGCTCTGAGTTTGTTTTCTGATCTGTGAAATGGGGATTACAATGGCCACCTTCTTGAACACTCCAAGAGCACTGTTCACGTCGTACATGGAGTTGAATTGTTCATAAAACATACGATGAGAATGGTACCCCCTGGCATTGTGCAATCAGGCAGCCTGCTATCTTGGAGGCTAGAGATGATGGTGACTTGATTATTCAAAGGGCTGGTCCTTCTAACTCCTCTTCTCCAATGACCTTGCCTCTACCTTCCAGACACATTCCCATGCATAGTCATGCACACAAGAGCAGTGCTTCAGCTGTGGGGAAGGACCTGGTTTTTGTTTGTATTCAATCTGTTGCAGACCAATACTTTTGCAAAATACAATCACAAATCAGTAGACGAGTGAGATTGAAAAAACAAATGCATCCCCAAACAAGTCCACTGATGACATGCTTGAATGTTGCAGCAGTGTTTCTAAACATTTCCTCTCAATTTCTGAACTTAACTTTACTATAGATTAGTAATACACAGTTCACAGACTGGCACCAGTGCACAGCCTACTCATTGGGGAACACTGCTCTAGACCTTGCTTGACCAATTACTGCAACCCCAACCCACTCTCTGACCAACCCCTGCTGTCTTTCACAGCTCACTCCTACAAGTTACTCTCATCCAACCATTCTTCAATCCCACTGGCCCACGCTGATCCTATCACCATGTCACTCTCCCTCTTCCCTAATATTTATCTTTTTTTCTTGCACAGCTTAAATTCCATAGCCTATCATTTTAATTACTCCCTTGTATACACCCCCTACTCCCTTGTCCCTCTCTTACTTCCTTGTATTTGTTAAATCCAGCTCTCAGCCTGATCCGTGACTGCACCTTGTGCACTAAATGTGCCTGGAGACAGCACACAAGCATTCTGACTGGCTTTGCTTTAAATTCATGACCATGAACCTCAAGTGAACTCTTAATGATGTCTGACAGTTATACTTACATTTGCTTTGTCCATTTAGTCTCCCACTCTCCTAGCTCATTATTTCGCACTTTCTTCTCTCTTTTCAAAATTCTAACACCACCTCCCTGATCCTCACTTTCAGCTGATGACCTTGTTTCCTACTTTACTGTCAAAATTGCAGCAATCAGATGAGAACTTCCATAAACTCCCACCACCACACTCATGCTCCTGACAGCATCTGTACCTACATTCTATGCCTTCCTGCCTATTATCACCGATGAAGTATCTGTATTCCTGTCTGTAGCCAGTACCTTCTCGTATATCCCACATCCACTCCCTTTCATCTATTCTAGCACATGGCCCTAGCAATTTCCTTTCTCTTTCCTACATTATCAGCTCTTTCCTCTCTCTGGATTATTTCCATCAATATTCAAACATGCAGTTATTTCTCCCCTTGTAAAATACCCTCTCTTGATGCCAACTTCCCCTCCAGTTATTGCTCCATTTCTCTCTTCCTCCTTTGCAGAAAAACTCCTTGAAAAAGTTGTTTAAGCTCTCTATTTCCAATTCCTCTCCTCCCATTGTCTCTTAAATCCACCCAATCAAGCCCTGCCATTCCACCAAAAATGCTGTTGTCAAACTCACCAAAGATCTCCACATGGCTAAATTCAGGTCAGTTCTTAGCCTTCATTTCACTTGACCCATTGGCCTGAACCTCTCCCATGAACTTCAGATTCATACCTCCAACTTCCTATTTTAATATTTCCACTTGAATATCTAATAGACATCTCAAATTTAACATGTTGAAATTTGAATTCCTGACCATCACTCCCCAAATTCACTCACTCATAGCCTTTTTTATCTCGTTAATGGTAATTCTATCTTTCTGGTTGCTCAGGGCAAACACTTTGAATATATCCCTGACCCTTTCTTTTATGCTCCACATTAAATATGCCAGAAATGTAGGTAGTTCTATTTTTGAAATATATCAAAATCCAACCACTTCTCTCTTATTTCTACTGCTCCCACCTGCTTTAAACTACCATCTCCTCTCATCTGAATTATTACCTTGTGTCCTAACTGGTCTTCCTGCTTCCACTTGTCATCCTACAATCTCTGCTCAAGAGAGCAGCCAGAGTGATCCTTTTAAAACATAGGTCAGGTCATGAGCCTTTCCTCTCTTCACTCAGAGTAAAGCCAGTGTCTTTGCAATGACTTATAAGACCTTACACAATCAGGCCTGGTTACTACTCTGACCTCATCTCCTATTACTCTCCCCTTTGTTCTCTTTCCTCTAATGACACTGACTTCCTTATGATTTCTTAGGTATACCATGCATGCTTCTGTCCTAGGGGCTTTATACTGGCTACTCACTCTGCCTAAATGCTCTTCCTCCAGATACTTCTGTGGCTCACTCCTCACCTCCTTCATGTCTTTGCTCAAATGCCTTACCTTCTCAGAGAGCCTCCCTTGACCATCCTCTTTAAAACTGCAATCGTTTACTCTCAGTCCAGCACTTCTGAAATCCCTTATCTTGCTTTTTATTTTTCTATAGCAGTCATTAAACTTTAAAGTGCTATATAACTAAATTGTTAATTTTGTTTATTGTCTTTTTCCCCCACTTG